TCAGGAAGTACTTCAGTAGCTATCTCTCAAAAAAAAAAAGAAAGAAAGAAAGAAAGAAAATGACTCTTAAAAAAAAAAAACATAATACTCTTATCACACTTAAAAAATTAATAACTCTTTAATATCAAATATCCAGTCTATGTTTAAATTCCCCTGATTGTTTTACTTATTTATTTATTTTTTAGGTTGCTTTGTTCAGATCAGGATCCATACAAGATCAAAGAGCTTTCTTAAAAAAATTCTATGCCCAGAGCCTTATCCCTCAGGGAGTCTGATTTAATTGGTCTTGGGTGGGGCCCAAGCATCATATTTTTTAAAGCTCCCCTGGTGGTTTTAATGTGCAGCCAGGGGTGAGAAATGTTCCACCTTCCCTCGGCCTCCAGCTTCCTGCCAGCTCCTCCACATCTAGGCTGTTAAATACTTGTCTCAGGAATTTCTCTCTGTCTCTAGGCTCCCAGAGCAGTCGGCACAGACAAGCCCATTTGGATGAGTTGAGGCTGCCCATCTCCTCCAGGCTTCTCTCTCAAGGTGGGCCCTGACTCTCTGTGAACACAAGCATTCTCTTCCCTACAAATCCGCTTACCATGTGTGCCTGTCCCTGTCTCTTTCTCCCCTAATATGCCTGGTGCTTGTTCTTGCCTTGCAAGTGTAGCAGATTTTTTTTTTTTTCTTTTTTTGTGAAAATAGCAAAACTCCTGCCTCAGGAAAAAGTGAGAACTTCCCTGAGGGCTACACTCATTTGGCTGCTGTAGTGGCTCAGTGCTGTGCTGGAGCCAAGTGAGGGGCCTGCTGAGGGCTTAGCAGCAGATGTAAGGGAAACCACGGACTGAGTGGGACTTGAACCCAGCACATTTCAGGGAATCTGAGAAACCTTTCCTATCCTTAAGATGTTGGCCCCAGGGGAATTTTAGAGAATTATGCCCATGTCCTGTGCTCTCTGCCTCAGCTCACAGCCTCTTGCGTGCTTCCGACAACTGCTGCCTCTATTCCCCTCCCCTCAGCCTGCTTTCGGACCCTTCTTCCTTCCTGTGTCCCCCACTCCGTGCCTCACTGAATGTTGGTGAAACAAATCTAGTCTAAAATAACAAGCAATCAACTACCCTGATGCTTGGGGCAGGCTGGGCAGGAGCTGGGGAAAAAGGGTGGGGAGCTGAATCATTTATAAAGCTTAATAAAGATGCAGATGAGCTATGCCGACTAGGAGCCCCAGAGCTGGGCTTATTCATTATTCAAAGTTATGTAAATGCCATTGGGTCCTGTGAGTTAGAATCGTGACCCTTGTCCCTGCTGCTTCTCTATGCCTGACAGACCCAGCCTGCCTGGTTTTCCCACCCACCTCCCCTGGTTGCTTGCATTAGCCTTGCCCTAGACTCTTGCCCAGTAGCCTATTTCAAATGGGCATTCTGAGCCCATTTCCTTTGGCCTCCAGGGTAATAAAAATCCTAAACCTCCTCTCTAGCCAGCAGGTTTTGTGAGGAGGTCCTAGCCTTCAGGCAAGCCTATACAAGCCCAAATAGATGGGCTTCTCATTTTTTAAGATTTCCAGGCAAAGCATACCACAAGAGTGCTCAGACAGATGTTTTAATATCTCACAAATCTACTGAGGAGGATGGGCTTCCTGGGGTCTAACCTAAATCCCTCTTGCTGCACTGGAAACCCACCACTGAAATAGAGTATCTGATAACTAAATTCTCTTTAATCACTATTCTGAGAAGTAAAATACACTCATCAAGTCACTTCCCAGCCTACTGTCCTCCAGACTAACCCATCTGTATTCCTTCCTTTCACCTTCTGTTGAACCTTCTTCCAAGTTATAGGTACCTTCTTTAAGTTCCTAAACGTGTTACAGGACACCAAACTCTGATGAGGTTAACAAAACAAAACAACAACAAAAACAAAACTCATTGCCATTGAGTTGATTCTGACTCTTGATGGCCCCATGTGTTACAGAGTAGAACTAAGTTCCCTAGGGTTTTCTTGGCTATAATCTTTACAGAAGGAGCTGCTGGATGGGTTTGAATCACCAACTTTTCAGTTAATAATCAAGCACAAACCATTTCCACCACCCAGGGACCCTAGGGCTTACCTAGTACTAACTATGTATGTAGGAGTCCCTGGGTGGTGCGAACAATTAACACGATGTTGCTAACCGAAAATTTGGAGGTTCCAGTCCCAGAGACACCTCAAAAGAAAGGCCTGGCGATTACTGCCAAAAAAAATCAGCCATTGAACACCCTTGGAGCATAGTTTTTACTCTGACACACGTGGAGTTGCCATAAGTCATAGTCGACTCTATGGCAGATGGTTTTTTAACTATATGTACAATATACCTCCTCTTTCCACATCATGATTGCTGACTTGTACCCCACAATTGCCTAAGTCTTAGGACTCAAATTACATCCCTCTAACTCTCCTCTCTCTATACCATCTTTCCTTTTTCCCCACCACCCCCTAATTTTTCAGTTTGTTGAGGCTGAGAGATGAGAAAACTGGGTCAGAGTTGCGGATCCCAGCGATTGCCTCTGCTTTGCCTCCTTTTCTGGCCTGCCTCTCCTCCCTCCCTGCCCCCAATCTATTTTAAGCCTGCCTCTGTTTTCCTTAGTCTGGTTGGCAACCATGCCAGCCTCTTTCTCTTCACTGCCCTTATCTCTCCCCTGCAGCCTGCACAGACCCCAGCTGCCCTTCCAGAGGTCTCTTATTGCCTGCCCAATTTATTTTGGTTTTCTTCCATCTTGAAGAGATGTAGGGCCTGCCTGAAAGGGAATGCTGGCCATGCTCAGGCAGAAGGGAAGCAGGGAGATGATGCTGGTTGGTCTGTTCTGGCAAATCCTTCAAAATTACTAAAATGCTCACGTTGTCCCCCAACCCCTTCTACAATGACTTTTCCTTTCTTCTATGCTCGGACTAATTCCCTACATCTCCTCTTCCCCTTCCCCTCTATGTTCTGATCCCACCTCCCAGCTAAGAAATGTTCAGCTTCTCCCACTTGGGCATGCTGGGCCCATTTCCTTTGGTTTTAGGGGTGGGCAGCATCCCTGGAGGTCCTTGCCTGGCTTCTTGACCTGCACATTACAATACTCTTCTTATCCAGTTCCTTGGTTTCTCTCCACTCCTTCATGACCCCTCCCACAGAGACCCCCACCCCACACACACCCCGCCCCTCCTGTACTCTCTGTTTCTAGGGCACAGCAGTCCCGTTTTAAAAGGGCCTTAACCAGCTCAGACAGGGCTTGTCGGACATCCCCCACTTGTCCTTTCTCAGCCTCCTCTAGACATTGGCCCCCTCCTTTAGCTGTCACCAACTAGCTGAATAATGCTGGATATTTTGGAAGGGGAGCTGCAGCTGGCTGGGGGAGGAGGGTGGCACCGAGAGAACAAGACAGGGAGCTGCGGGCAGCCTTGGAGCAAGAGGAGAAGTTCCCAACATCCTTTCTCCCCAACTTTGTCTGCCTGGGCACTGGCAGGATCTTATTCTGATCCCCATCTGTACCTTCATTTTTTCTTCCCCCATTCAATAATAACAAAGTACCTTACTTTGCAATTTATAACATTTTTTTACATACATCCAGATGTCTTCATGGCTCACTGTCTTTCCTTCTTCAAGTCTGCTCAAACACCCCCTCCTCCAAGAGTCCTACACTGACCACCTCATTTAAAATTGCATCCTCTCCCCCAGCATTCCCTATCCTTCTCCTCTCCCTGCTCTGGTTCTTTTCTCCAAAGTGCTTATGACCTTCTAACTTAGTATATAATTTCCTTATACGTATTGCTTACATGTCTTCTCCATATGGACTGTAAGCTCCATAAGAGCAGGGATTTCCATCTGGTTTGTTCACTGACGTATCCACACTGCCTAGCATAGTGCCTGGCACTCAGTGAATGAATGAATGATCTTATTGGATCCTCACACACCCCTGTAGTGTTGGTCGTACTATTATTCCCATTTCACAGATGGGAATAAGGCTGAGATTCAGAGAATTATTTACGGATCACTCAGGAAGCAGATGTGGCAGGTGGCTGACAGGATCAGCTGGATTTGATAACTCACTGGAGAAATCAGTGCTAAACACGTGCCTAGGGCCTTTAAGGACTCAGACAGTCGAAGAATCATTTTCACTGTGTTGTATTTTCTTTGGGAATAATTTACTCTTATTCCTATTTCCCATTCCTCTCCCCTCAATGTCACCTCCTAACATTTCCATCCCACCCAGTCCCAGTTTTTCTCTCCCTGGAGAATTTTAATCTCTGTTCTCTAAGGTCAAACTGGCCCAATCTGGAGAGCCCCATGCTTGGGTTTCATCTGGGCTCATTCAGCCTTGCTTCAGTCCCTGTTTACACCCCTCACTGCTCCACCCACCCCGGGGTAGTTACAAGCCTGTTCCCTTCTAAAGCAGTTAGTGCAAGGAGGCCAGCCGACTCGGTGTTAATGCCGTTTCATTAGGTGGGAGCAATCCTAATGATAATAAAATGGCACATTTAACATTCAAACACTGAACAGGGTTTCTAAGCGAGTGTGTCTCTCTCTTTCTTTCTGGTATAACAGCTCCATCTTCATAAAGACCTGACAGCACACCTTAATGAGAGACTGGGTAGCTGAGCATCTTTACAGAGAGAGGATGAGGATGAGACAAAGAATCCAGAAAAAGGGGGTACAACTCATTGAGGGAATAAAGACTGTAAGAATTCCTGGGGAAATGGATTCTGTAGTGCTGATTTAGACAATTAAAGCCTGTAAGAAATGAGGTTACATGGAAAAGAAAGCTCACCACAGACTTTAATGCAATGCATTATTTATTCATTTGTTTGTTCAACAAATTTCATTCAGCAAAGATTTATTATGCACTTAAGATGAGTCAGGAGCCCTGGTTGCACAGTGGTTAAGAGCTTGGCTGCTAACCAAAAGGTTGGCAGTTTGAATCCACCAGCGCTCCTTGGAAACCCTATGGGGCAGTTCTGCTCTGTCCTAGAGGGTTGCTATGAGCTAGAATTGACTTGATGGCAGTGGCTTTTTTAAGATGAGTCAGATATTATGGGAGTTTGTGATGGAGGGTGGCTCTAGTTTTAGGAAAAGGGGCTTCAAGGGCACCAATGATCTACTAGAAATTATCCTGTTTACCTTCCCCTGGGTAGATTTAGTCAAATTCATCCCAAGTGCATTAAGCCTCAGGGAAGAGAATTTTAACAACTGCCTTGGTCTCCTGAGCCAGTCCTTATGCCCTCTTCCTACTGAGACATTCATCTCAGAGATCCTTGCTGTTCTGTGATTATAAAATATCTGATCAACCATCTAGGGGCAAGAAAGTAGTAGGATTGGGGAGCTGGCCAGGGAAAGGAGGGGACTCAGTCATCAAGTGTTGGACTCAAGAGAGGCAGAAGAAAAGGATAACATCTTGCGGCCACTTCCTCCATCTGAGAACTCCTCCCCAGCATAGAGTTTTATTCCCAGATCTAGTGCACAGAAGAGAGGCTACTGGCCAGGGGTCAAAGGTGAGCTTTGCCAAGGCCAGGGAAGCGGCTGATTCGAAAAGGTGTCAAGTCGTAAGATGGCGTTAATTTCATGCTTAATTCATACAAGATCTTCCCCACAACAGGGGACAGCTTGAATCCATGCCCTGGGAAGAGGAAAGGAGGCTGTCACACACCTTCAGAGACAAAGAGGCTGGACTACTTGGAAGTCTCCTCTTTACCAGATAGGAGTAACTCTCCTCTTGGTCGCGTCCCAAAGCCCGAAGCTGCCTCCCACCATGAATACCCCATCTTCTCTGACTGTCCAGCTCCCTCACGCACTCAGTGTCTAGGTTTCAGGACCTGTCTGTCCAGCTAAGAGCATGGAAAATACCACTTTGCCGACACCAAGGTAGATCAGCTGTAAGGCGCCCCATCTCCCCCTCCTCGGGCTCACCAGAGAATCCAGCCCCGATGACAATGTTGTCGTACTTTGGATGGCGATCAAGAATGAAGTGCTTGTCAGGGGTGTTCTAGAAAGAAGCAATCACACCTGTGTCCTTTGAGGATAGAGGGAGAAGGAAGGACTGCAGGCTCTGAAGGGAGGGGACTGGGCTGCATTTCTTTCCAGAAAAAATGAGAATGGGGCCCAGGAATGCTCTCTGCATGCCAGCGCCCCCTCTGGGTTTGCCAGTCTTTCTCATTTGTCCATCTGCCTCTCTTCTCATACAGAGCTATGAACACAGTAGGTGCTCAGTTAATGCTTGTAAACTAGCTTTAGCCAAGATGCCTTAGGCCCTGGTGACATCTGTCTCTTCTCTTTCCCTAAGGCCCGTTTAACGGGCACATCTTGCCAAAAAATCTTTTAGAGCTCTTCTGGGAAATGCAGTGAAGGATTGCCAGGCATAAGCCTAGTTTCCTAATGAAAAAGAATATGAATAATCCCTAATGGGCCCCCTCTGGTAGAGGTGAAGAGACCCTCAGAAATTAGCTAGTTTGTTTAAAGTCATGTACTCTGTCAGGGGCCAAATAGAGTCCAGCCTGACCAACACAAGGTCTGTCTGTCTCCCTCCCCGCTGTTCTCCAGAGCTGTGAGGGGGCCTGGAGAGGCTGCCCAGACCCCTTACCGTGTACATGCAGTGCTCCATAATGGCAGGTGTGGGTCCTAGGTCAGGTAAGTGATCTCGGACAAAGCGGCACAGGATCTGGACGTCTTGGTTATCAGAGAATGCAGAGGGGCAGTCCCGCTCCTCGGGATCTGCATCGTTGCCGTGGTGATAGCAGACCTGGCTTCCAATCAGAGCAGTGTGAACAGTGAGGCTGGCCTTCTGTGCAAACCCACCCAGCCAAGGACCTAGGCAGGTTTGCACACAGTGTCCCCCATCCATCATCCCAGCCTTCCCCAATTCTGAAGGATGCTGTTTGGTGCCACATGAGGTTGCCTCACTGTCCATTCCCCCCACTGACCCTATGTTTGCAGCAGTGTTTAGGAATGTGAGATCCTCAAAGGGAGGGCTTCCTTTGCCAGGACTCAGGACATCTGAGTGTCTTGCACTACAAACAGTGAATAGTGGAGTATGCTTCTGCTGCCGCCCACCATGATCTGAGGGACTCTGTTGAGAGGAAAGTTAGACCAGCTGCCCCACGCCTGCATGGGCACCCTATTAGCCTTCTCTTGGCCTTTCTGCTCACCTTCACCAGCCCTGGGTACTCTCCTGCCGGCAGCCCGTAGATGTGGTGGGGAGCCAGGTCCAGGCCCAGGCTCAGGAAGCATGGAAAGGCCTGGGACACACCATAGCTCCCAGGAACTTTCTCACGCCAGTAACACACGTTGATCCGCAGGGTCTTGGAACAGGGAGAGGAAGTGGGAAATGAAGAGGGAAAGCCATGGAATTCTCTAGACAGGGAATGTCGTTTCTCCTAAGGTACTGCAGCTCTTTAATATAAGCCTGAATGCCCACCTTAACTCATACATCCTTACTTCATCCAATTCTCATGTCATCCACATGTTACATGTTTCATGTTACGATGCACAAAAGTCTCCTAATCTCTCTCTTCCCCCATTCTTACTCTTCTCCCATAACTCTGCCTTGGCCCTACTTCTCTTTCTCCAGGAGTTAATAACAATTCACACTTATTGAGCACTTATTATAGGCCAGAGTCCCTGGGTGGTACAGTCAGTTAATGAGCTCAGCTGCTAACCAAAAGGCTTGAGGTTCTAGTTCACCTAGAGGTGCCTCAGAAGAAAGGCCTGGCAATCTACTTCTGGGAAAACCAGTCATTGAAAACCCTATGGAGCACAGTTCTACTCTGACACATGTGGGGCCGCCACGAGTCAGAATTGACTTAATGGCAACCGGTTTTTCTTTTTTTTACTATAGGCTAGGCTGTCTCCTTAGAGCTTTATATACATCACATAATTTAATTCTCTAACAGCTTTATGAGGTAGCTATTATCCCCCATTTTAAAGATGATAAAACTGAGGCTCAGAAGGTGAACTAATTTGCCCAAGGTCGTCCAATAGTAAGTGGCAGATTCAGGACTCAAACCTGAGTCCATTTATTTCCAAGGCCTCTTCTCTTAAGTACCAGCTCACAGGCTTTCACTCAGCCTTACCTGGAGAGGTAACTGAATTCCCAAGGGACTGAGGAGCCGGTTGGTCCAAGGACCTGCTGTGATGACCACACTCTTGGCTTGGTAGCTCCTGGAGGTGGTTTTTACCGTGACTGGGAGCCCTGGTTTTATCTCCGTCACCTTCTCTCCATCATGCAGTATGCCTCCCAGCTGTCGAACTGCATACTGAAAGGGCAGGGAGGGGGAGAGGCAAATTAGTTGTGTATGTGGTTCACTCGTGTGGACAGAATCCTTCTCAGGATAGAAAACAGAAGCGGAATCTGGACCTCCTCTCCTACATTGACAAGGCCTAGCAGAAGGTGTGGAGTCCCTGGGTGGTGCAATCGGTTTACGTGCTTGGCTGCTAACCGAAATGCTGGAGATTCAAATCTACCCAGAGGTACCTTAGAAGAAAGGCCTGGCGATCTATTTCTGAAAAAATCAGCCATTGAAAACCCTATGGAGCACAGTTCTACTCTGACACACGTGGGTCATTATGAGTTGGAATCAACTTGACAGCAACTGGGTTAGCAGGTTGTATAAAACTGCCCAGACCAAAGGGTCAGTACTGAGGCCAGCAAGGCTGTCATTCAAGTGGGGGCCCAGGGATGGCTGATTAGAATCCAGATGCCCAGAACAGGGAGACGCATTGCCCCTAATGCTGTATGATAGTGCCTGGAGGGCTTTGAGGGCCTTGTCTGCGTGCAGCACTCCTCCAGACTTGTCCAAGAGCCCCGCTTCTCCCCCGGTCAGCCGAATATTTGGGAAACATTGCTTCAGTTCCTCAGATGGAAGAAGCTGGTGTTCCACCCCTTGCCTGGACAGAGTGGCCTGGATGGTCTGAAATTCTGGGTGCTCCTTCTTTCCCAGAAGCAGTAGTCCAGTCTGCCTGTGAAGAAAAGGGACATCTGGGTGAAGGTATGTGTCAGGGCCTTGGGCCATTTGTTCTCATTCTTCAGCAGGGCCTCTGGTTCAGGCATGGGCATGGAGGCGAACCATAGCCCCATGTTCAAAGAACAAGTAAAGTCATCCAGATCCTGTTGTAAGAGCCCCAGTATTGTAGAGCTTGTTTCCGCCCATTCCCAAGTCTGCCCTTGGCTCTAACTATTGGTTTGTTTGTCCCTCCATCCTCCAGCCTCAAGAATAGCTCCCTGGGGGCAGAGACCCTAAGTCCTCTCTTCTCTTCCGCACCTTGAAAGTAGTAGGTGTTCAGTCAGTTTGATAAGATTTCTTCCTCTTCTGCCTTCCCCCGACCCTATTCACTATTTTGATCTCTCTATTCTGTATCCTTTCTCCTCCCCACTCTACCTCCTACTCTGTTTCTTTCCCCTTTCCTTTTTTTTTTTTTTTTTTGTCATATTATGTTTTGTCTCTTCCTGTGTGTCTAGCTCTGTCTCTCAATTCCTTCTCAGGGGCTTTTCCATTTTGTGCAAACAGTCCTGTTATGGGTTGAACTGTGTCCTCCAAAAAGATACGTTGTTGAAGTCCTGTCCCCTGGTACCTGTGAATGTGACCTTGTTTGGAATTAGGGTCTTTGAAGATGTTATCAGTTAAGTTAATATGAGGTTATACTGGAGCAGGATGGGTCCTAATCCATTCTAAATGGTGTCCTTATAAAGGGAGAAAAGACACAGAGAGACAAACAGGGAAAAGAGCCGTGTGAGTTATGACTTACGTTGCAGCTACAAGCCAAGGAATGCCTGGGGCTACCGGAAGCCAGGAAAGATAAAAACGGATCTTCCCCTTAGAACTTTCTGAGAGAATATGGCCCTACCAATACCCTGAATTTGGACTAGCCTCCAGAACTGCAAGACAATAAATTTCTGTTTTTATAAGCCACCCAATTTGTGGTATTTTGTTATGGCAGCCCTAGGAAACTGATGTTGTTGTTGTTAGTTGCCACTGTGTCAGCTCTGACTCATGGCAACCCTGTGTATAACAGAATGAAACATTGCCCGGTCCAGTGCCATCTGCATGATTGCTGATAATCAGACAACATTCTGTTGTGACCCATAGGGATTTCATTAGCTAATTTTGGAAAAGAAGTAGATCACCAAGCCTTTCTTCCTAGTCTGTCTTAGTCTGGAAGCTCTGCTGAAACCTGTCCACCATAGGTAACCCTACTGTTATTTGAAATACCAGTGGCGTAGCTACCAGCATCATAGCAACACACAAGCCACCATAACTGGGAAAGCTGACTCTTGTTCTAGTCCTGGCTGTGTGACCTTCATCTGGTTACTTACCCCTCTGGGCCCCAGATTCCTCTTCTGTAGCACATGCCTGTTGAACTGTTGGTGGTTCCATACGGGGTGGTACTGCCCTCTTCCCAGAGGCATGTGGAAATGTGTTGGGGTCCATTTTTCTGTTGTCACGATGCCTGGGGTTGCCACAATGCCTGGGGTTGGTTGCCACTCACATTTAGTGGGCAGGGGTCAGGGATGCTAAGCCTGAAATACTCAAAAAGGCTTCACCCCAAATGCCAATAGCATGCTCATGTGGAAACACTGTTGGATAGTCTCTTAGAGATCCAGCAATAAATTCAGTGATTCTATGATTTTGTTTCTCCCTGTGCCTCCCTCTGTTTGTGCTTCTTACTTCTCTTAGTCTATGAAAGCTGTTTCTCTATAATGCTTTCCATCTCTCTGTCACAAGAGACCAGAGCTCCCTTTCTGGGGGGACTGATCTAAACAATGGAAGAGCCACCCTGATCCTTGGAACCATTCCTGTGGTCTCTCTTGGTTTCGGCAGCTGCAGTGACCAGCATCAGCCTGTACATCCCCCAGGTATTGCATATAAAGCTCGTAATAGCCTATAATGGAGTCTCATGGATATTACATGCTTCCAAATCCCACATTATCTGGTTGGAGGGATGAAAGAGAAGATTGGGAGGGGGTAGGGACACAGTGGGCCCTGGGGCCGGTGTCAGTACACAGAGCCGCGCAGCATGCCCAATCCATTTGCCATGGCCCCCGCCTACCCAGCATTCACCGCTGGTGAGATAGCAACGAGAGCCTTCTGCCTCTTCAAAGCTTGTCAGACGAGAGATACTGTAGAAATCCCCACAAGTCAGCAGACAGTCTTTATCTGTAGCCTCAAAAAGAACTTCAAATTGGTTCTCAGGTAATGAAATCTTGCCTAGTAAACTTCTTGGTCAACAGGATCATTTAGAAATTACCAAGGTGTATGTTCTTGAATCCTTTTTACCTAACGGGGCCAGGCCTGGGTAGTGGTCTGGCTTAACCCTCAACTGGCAGACATAGTGTCAGACCTCTGGCCTGGAGATTCCAAAGCACATGTTCTAACCTCTGCCTGCAATATGCCAGCCAGCTTTGGTCCCTCATACACTCTGAGATTTGAGATTTACTTTCTTTCCCTTTCTTCTTCCCTACTTGCCTCCTTCCTTCTTTCCTTCCTTCCTTGAAAGAAGAACAACTCCTCTTCCAGGGATGTACCAAATGGGAAAAAATGAACTCATGCCAAGACAACAGGCAAATCTGTCAAATTATGAAATGCTGAGTGATGTTCTAATGCCCAAGGGGTCCTGTGTCGGATGAAGCAGGAGCTCCCCATCCCTACCAGTAATCAGCGAGCTGATTCTGCCGGTGAATGTAGTCATTGTGCCGATTGTAATCATTTTGCTCCAGCTCTCTGCCCCTGTGACATTTATTTCTTAGCCCAGATATTGATCTAACAGTGGGAAATTTTCCATCTGAATTTGTGATGCTGGACCCTGCCCTAGTCTAGAGAGGCGTTTGGGAAATTCTCATTTTCCATGGATCACAGTTGAGCTATTTGGCCTGAGGGAAACCGTGCACTGCTGGAGAAATGCCTTGAATTGGAGAGAGATTTTTGACCATTATGAGCAAATCAGAAATAAATGTAAAACACTGCCTGGAAATGCAAAGGCTTGTTATTATGGGAGATAGGTGAGAGGCTCCTGTGGGAAATGCTTAGAGAATTGGAAATCAGTCAATCAAGACCGAGATTGGAAAACAGGCGTTTTCCCCCCAATATGAAGATAGATGACTTCCATGGGCAGATTGAAAATCATTTAAGTGCTTATTTTCTTAATGGCTTTTCTTAGATCCCAATAAACAGACTGCTCATTCTGCATCAATTTCTCACCCCTGTGCTCTGGGCCTCCCTCTCCCCTTTTTCTGCCCAGATCTAGGCTACAACTTTTGGGAAGAAGAAGGGTAAGAAGGGACAAGGGCATCTGCAGGAAAGAAGAGACCAGAGTGGCCAGGAAATGATTGGTCAGGGTGGGCTGGAAAGAAGAGAGAGACCTGGAAACGAGGACTAAGGCTACCATGGCTAGAAAAGATGGCAGCTCCCAACTCCCTGAATACCTGTCAGCTGAGAGGAGAGCATTTCATATGAACTATGCCTTTTTCCCAACCCTAGTTGGATCCAGCTATAGGAACTGGTAATTGAAGATTCCTCCCAAGGGCCTTGTTGGCTCCTCTATGGCCCAGCTTAAGCCTCAGATGTGATGTAGGGAGTTAGTTGGTGATCAGGCATTTCCACTAGTTACTATAGCAGGACAGAGTGCAAAGTGGAGTGGGGAAGAACTGGGGAGTGGCGGGGGGACAGAAAGGGAGAAGAGAGCACTCCCTACATCTGGCACCTCCCATCCCAGGCTTCAGCTTTCCCCTCTATGGGTTAAAATTGCCAGACAAAGCCAGCTCTCAGAGTCACCTTGGGGAAGGGACTCAAATGGGACCTGGTAATGGCTGCTGTCTTTGTTGGTTTTGGAGAAGCTCTCTGCTTTTCATCTTCCGCTCAGTGGGCCGAGGTGGAATTGGTTAACAAAGATTGCTCCAGGGAGGGGATGTGGCTGACAAGCCAGACACTTCGCAGACACAGGAAACACAGGAAGCAGCAGCTGCGGAGGGGGCCACCAGGTTCTGCCAGCAGCTGTACTGCCTACGGCTGTGATCTTGTCTTATATTGTCAGCTAAGCAGGGGCAGCCTGGGTCAGGAGCTAGATAGCAGGACTCAAAGGGAGAAGGCGGGGCAGGAAAGAGATGGGCAAAAGAGCTGGGATTTGCTGTTAGTATAAGCGTCCTGGCTGTACACATCACAAAAGATTCAGACCTTGTGATCTGACACGTGTCATTGTTCCCAGCATATATGCAAATATTCTGAGGCTACCCATGTTTAGCATGCCACTGTCATAAGAAACAGCAGAACAGAATAGAAAGAATTGGACACCTTAACTTCCAACTCCTGAAGGCTCTTCCCCACCTTAATGATCATCATCAAATAGCATTAAGTAAGTACGCTCATAACTATCAATTATATGATGGTATTGTGCTGCTTCTTCTGGAAGAACCTGGAGAGAAGTAAGAACTGCAAAGATGATGACTCATTTAGAACATCAGAATTAGACGCAAAAGCTAAAGGAACTAGGATGGCTTTTGGCTCAAAGGTGGAGCTGTATTCAAGTACCATTCTGAGAATGAGAAGTATCTGTTCTGTATCCCTACTAAATAAAAGAACCAAATGAATTAGTGTGCCTTAGTAAATTAGGTTAGACGTAAGAAAGGACTTGTTAATAATGAAAGAAGAAGAGTGTCTAGCACTGGTATAGCACTTCAAGGTTTTTCAAAGCATATCCATATTACTCTTCATTTTTCATGATTGGGGCTATGAGGTATCAGAATGATCTTTTAACAGAGGCTATGATATTTCCCTCTTCAAATGTACATTAGTAATCTTTTGTTTGGAGACGGGAATGGACGAGGTAACCAACTTGTGGTATCGTCTAGATCAGGGGTCAGCAAACTATAACACGTGGCCAAATTTGATCTGCCACCGGTTTTTATATGTCCTGCAAGCCAAGATGGTTTGTTTGTTTTTTAATGATTGGTAAAAAATCAAAAGAAGAATAATATTTTGTGATATGTGAAAATCATATGAAATTCAAATTTTAATCATCCATAAATAAAGTTGTCGATCGCCTCATATGCATGAGAAAACTGGAAAATGAATAAGGAAGACTGAAGAAGAATTGATGCCTTTGAATTATGGTGTTGGCAAAGAATACTGAATATACCGTGGACTGCCAGAAAAAAAAAAAAAAAACAACAAATCTGTCCTGGAAGAAGTACAGCCAGAATGCTCCTTAGAAGCAAGGATGGCGAGATTTTGTCTCACATAACATGATAACGTGTTCCTTGGACATGTTATCAGGAGGGACCAGTCCCTGGAGAAGGACATCATGCTTGGTAAAGGAGAGGGTCAGCGAAAAAGAGGAAGACCCTGAATAAAATGGATTGACACAGTGGCTGCAACAATGGGCTCAAAAATAACAATAATTGTGAGGATGGCTCAGGACCGGGCAGTGTTTCGTTCTGTTGTACACAGAGTCGTTATGAGTTGGAACCGATTTGACGGCATCTAACAACAGTGGAAACCCTGGTGGCGTAGTGGTTAAGAGCAGTGGCTGCTAACCAAAAGGTCAGCCGTTCAAATCCACCCCTAACCAAAAGGTCAGCAGTTCAAATCCACCACTAACCAAAAGGTCGGCAGTTCAAATCCACCAGGAGCTCCTTGGAAACTCTATAGGGCAGTTCTACTCCATCCTATAGTGTCGCTATGAGTCGGAATCGACTCAACGGCAAGGGGTTTGGTTTTTGGTTTTAACAAAAACAAAGTTTTATTGGAACAAGCTATGCCCATTTGTTTATATATTGTTTGTAGCTGCTTTCACGCTACAATGGCAAAGTAATTTGCCAACCCCTGTTCTAGACTAAGAGTATAGTAATTCTGGGATTTATATTAATGGTTTAAGACCCTGATTACTCAGTAGCACCCTTCTCATGAGGTTGTGGAGAGAGTTAAATGTGTTAATATGTGTTAAGAACTTAGAACTTAGTTCCATATTGTAAACACTATATATATGTTCCTCTTATGATTATTATTATTTGTCAGATACTGTTCTAAGCCCTTTATATACTTATCCTCACAACAACCCCATGAAATACGTATTACCCCTATTTTACAGATAAAGAAACCGAGCCTTACAGAGTTTAGTTAAACAGCTTTTAACCTCTGCTCCAAACTGCCCAGCTAGGAGTTGAGATTTAGAGCCAGATCTGACTGGTTCCAAAGATCCTTCCAAATTCTTGTCCCCCTGCCAAAGAGAAGGATTGAGAGAATTGTGAGATTATGAGAATCTTCTACCCAAGGGTCTCTTTCCTTCTCTCCTTGAGCAATTTGCCTTGATGTCCATGTTGCTGCCTCTCATCTATCTCCCCCTGCCCTTCCTCTTCCATCTCTCAATGGAGACAGGATACAGCTGACCCAGAATAGGTGGAAGGAGCTACCATTTATTGAAAGGTACTAGGCATTATGCCAAGTATTTTACAAAAGTATCATTTAATCCTCATAAAGCCCTATGAGGAAAAATAAGAACAGAAAGATAAACTTTTCTAAGGTCACACAGCTGTTAAGATGTAGTACACAAAGTCAAACCCAAGCCTGTCTGACTCCAGAATCATCTTCCCTCTGAAAGATTCCAGGCACTCACCTAACCTCTTAGTTGCCTCATTCTCTGCTGAGAAAGAGTTTGCCTTCTAAGGCATGGGGCAGTTCTTTCAGCACAGGATACCCAAGCAGCATTCACAGACAGCTGACAGAGAGGGGTCCTTTTGCCAGGCCACCCCTCAGCAAGACATGCTTCTTTATTTGGGTGCTGGGTGCATGAGCTGCCTCTGGTTGGAATAAATCTGTATTTAGCTGCCCTGGCTGTATTTGCATAATGGATTTCACTTTGTTCTTAAGTTAATGGTGTTTTTGCAACAGAACAGTAACCTCTTGGTTCCTGGCCATTAAAATAACTGCCACCCTGAAGGGTAGAGCCAAAGTTTTGTAGGAGGTTCAGTTAAGAGCCACAGAGAAGGTGGGAGGTATGGTTAAGGTCCCCATTGCACCAGGATTTGTGTGCCTTCTTCCCCACTAGTGTTTGAAAGGTCACTGAGGGTGGAGTCTTAAGAGTTAGAGTCTTGGGGCAACAGGGAAATAGCTGCAGTTTCACTCCCTGGCAGGCAGTCCAGCCTGAGGAGCACCTCCATTTTGTTCCTGTGAAAGGAATTTCAGAATGAAATGGATCTATAGACCTACCACCCATCTGTCAGTTTGTCATACTGTGGTGGCTTGTGTGTTGCTATGATGCTGGAAGCTTTGTCACCAGTATTTCAAATACCAGCAGGCTCACCTATAGTGGACAGGTTACAGCAGAGCTTCCAGACTAAGACAGACTAGGAAGAAAGGTCTGGTGATCTACTTCCAAAAATTAGCCAGTGAAAACCCTATGGATCACAGAATATTGTTCGAGACTTCAGCTTGCTTATTTTGGACTCTTGATGAGGAGGGACCAATCACTGGAAAAGGACATCGTGTTTGGTAAAGTGGAGGGCCAGTGAAGGCAAGGGGAACTCTCAGTGAGATGGATTGACACAATGGCTACAATATTGGACTCAAACATACCAACAATCATGAAGATAGTGCAGGACTGGGCATCATTTCATTCTGTTGTACATGAGGTCGCCATGAGTTGGAGCCAACTCTACAGCAACTAACAACAACATGAGGGTGAAGACCCAGCATAAAGAGTTACAATGCCAGTAAGAATATAAAGAATTAAGAAAGCAGCCTTCTCCTCTAGTTCAGTCCCTACCCTAAAAGAGCCTCATGGTCCCATAGAACTATAGGTACAAACTCCAGCAATTCCAAGCGGGCCTGCCCAGCTCTGGTATCTGCACACAGTGTCGTTCCAGCCGTTTTCCCAATTCAACCTCTGCTAGCCTTGGACACAAAGTCTGAACTCAGAGCCAGCTGGACTTGTGGGGTGATCATAATGACAGTGAGCAGAATGTTTCGATGTGGCCGGCCCTTCCCTAGGCCCTACGTCCTTCCCATCATGTTTCAAGTGTTCATGGCACTGCCACCTCACACGCTAAAAGAGCCTCCAGGTGTAGGGCCCTGAGTTCAATGAACTCCTCCCCCCAGACCACAAGGAAACCTGTGTAATTGGGTTCCAGCCTCGTGCTCCAGCTGGGCCCATATCTGGTAGCACTCATCCATCATCTGGGTATAAAAGTCTTCAGGGTATGCCCTTCGGATAATCCGGCTCTGTCCATGGGAGCTTCCTCGGGAGTGCGGCAGAAAGAACTGGGAGTGGAGAACAAGAGACAGCTGAAGCTGTTATTCCTGACACTGTGCCCTCCCCTCGCCTCCCCTCCCCTAAGAGGAGCCATCTCATCTCATGCTGTCAACCAGGAACCACTTATTCATCAAATATTTGTATACGTACAATCTTTCCAAATTCTCCCTTTATGACTAATTTACTGATCTGGCTATCAGGATGGTTCTTTAGTAGCGCTAATTTAGGCTTCCTTTTCGCTGGCATCATTCGCATTAGGAAGTCCCTTTGTTAGCTAGTCTTCACGTATCCTGCTGCAGTCTCACCTCACTTAGACTCACAGAACACCAGAACTAGAAGGAACCCCCTCATTTTATGGACAAGGAAACTGATGCTGACTTTATTTCTCTGTGGCCTCAGATCACTCAGGGCAAAAGAACCACTTTGGGATTTAGCAAAAGATGGGGGAGTTTTCCAGGAAGTTGAACCAGGAACTCCTCCGGCTTTGAGAAAACTGATGGAGAAATGAAAAAGGTTTTCTAACCAGTCCAGCTCATTCGGAGTAAACCATAACCAGCCTGTTGGGCTGCGGGCAGAATGGAGGGGGAGAGACCACTATGAAACCCTTGGATGGTGGACTGCATGAACTCATCCTCAGAAGGACTCTGCAGATACGCAGGACTTATCACATTTGCAATGGCTGCTGTGTACTGCGTTGCATGAGGGCACCTTCTCCAAAAGGAAAAACAAGGCCTCAGTCTTACTTTCTGTTTATCAAACAAGGAGGCTGTTTGTCATGGATTAAATTATGTCGCCCCAAAAATATGTGTATCAGTATGGCTGGGCCATGATTCCCAGTATTATGTGCTTGTCCTCCATTTTGTGATTATAATTTTATGTCAAAGAGGATTAGGGTGGGATTATAACACCTTTACTAAGGTCACATCCCTGATCCAATGTAAAAGGAGTTTCCCTGGGGTGTGGCCTGTACCACCTTTTATCTTACAAGATATAAAAGGAAAGGGAAGCAAGCGGAGAGTTGGGGACCTCATACCAGAAAGAAAGCAGTGCCGGGAGCAGAGCGTGTCCTTTGGACCCAGGGTCCCTGTGCCTGAGAAGTTCCTCGTCCGGGGAAAGATTGATGAGAAGGCCGACAGAGAGAGAAAGCCTTCCCCCAGCTGATGCCCTGAATTTGGCCTTTTAGCCTACTTTACTGTGAGGAAATAAACTTCTCTTTGTTAAAGCCATCCACTTGTGGTATTTCTGTTATAGCAGCACTAGATGACTAAGACACTGCTATTATCCAGAAGTGGCAGAAAAAAACAAAAACCTCTGCTGGGTTCTGGGGTGAGGCCAGGAATATGCTGGGAAGAATCCAGCCTCCTAGGCTGACAAATCATCCTTTGCTACTAGGCAGATCTATCTTTACTTAACCCTTTCATGTCCGGCAGTACACAGAGCAGCCATGAATTTTTCAGCCTCTAGGGTTTATTGGGAAGCTGCTGTACCACTGACAATGTGTGCTGCCGCAAGACAGGGGCCTTTATGACTGTTTGAAGCTGAGGAAACGGGCGTGTGCCACAAATTGCTATTTTTACAAGGTATTGTATGAGGTGTCTGAATTTTTTATAGGAAAAATAGAAATTTTGAAAATTTTTATTTGTTACACATATGTACCAATAGACTTCAGAGGGGACTCTGGGGTATAATTAGTGGTACTTCCTATGTACCACTAAACACTTTGGGTAGACTTGTGGGAGGGGCCAAGAAAAAAAATCCATACTACCTACCAAAAATTCAGACGCACGCAATAATTCAGCATGTTTCCATAAATGAAAACACATGGTATCAACAAAAAATTCAAAGCAGAAAATAACTGGGTCACCAAAAGGTTAAGGTTGTCCAAAGGCGAACTAATATTTTTCTGGGCTGGATCAGTCAGTTGATAGAGAAGAGACTGGGTCACAAGAAAGAAGAGAACAGGGCCTGCCTGGGACACTTCTTAGTCAAGGTCAGGAACTGGGAGGCAGTGAAAGTAAGAAAGTGCCTACAGATCAAGTCGGGTTCTGAGGGAGGGTGGAACTATCTATGAATTGTCATGAAACACACCATGCAGTTAAACTGATGACTTGGGCCCTTTGGTGTAGTCCCATAACCTGCTGGCTCTTGAAACCCCTCTCTAAGGGAGGAGAGAAGGACAGCCCTTAAGGTCAGGAGTGCAAAGGTAACACAGTACCTGCTCCAGAAGAAGGACACTCTTCCCGTGTTTGGCCAGGTGATAAGCAGTGAAGCAACCCTGGATGCCTGCCCCTAACACAATGGCATCATAGAGATCTTTCTGGAAAGCCATGATGCTCAGTTAGTCAGCTCTGCAGCCACAAGAGCCCACAAAGGAGAAGGCAAGCAAAGGCGAGCTCCTAGCCACAAGAGGAGGAGTAAGGCAAAGTCCAGCCTGGTTAGCGTTCCCACAATCCCCTGGGGCCAAGTCCTCCCCACTCCCTCCACCACCACCCCCTCCGCCAAAGCGTGGCACAGGGCTCAGGCTCCACCTCCCCTGCAGAGCAGAACTGGGTAGTCTGATTTGCGAGGTTTGGCCCAGCTCAGCTGCCAGCCTCACCCTTGTGTCCCTCTAGCTTTCTATTCTTGGCTCAATTATTGTCATGCAAATGGGGCTCCTTCCTATGCCACCTTCCTGTCTCATTATGATCTTTGTCTCAGGACTTCGGCCCTGGAATTTCAATGCCTCCTAGATCAAGCTGGGCACTGGGAATGCTGCCTCCCCCTGCTGGCTTCCCTCTCTTCAGCCTAATTTCCTCTGGAGTCTCTAGAGGGACAAGCTAAGAACTTGGCGCTATGCCCAGGGTAAGGCCCATCTCCCTGGTGGGTGGTGAGGTCAGGGGGTGGATACAGGGGCTGACTGGGAGGGCAGTTTTGTGATTATAAAATTATTCTCAGCATGTTTCCCTTTCATTTTTTAAAAAGAAGAAGAAATTCTCCCTAAAATATAGAAAAGACAGAATGAGAGGAGGCGCCTTCTCCTCCAGCAGGGAGAGGGGACCAGGCAGCAGCCACTAGTGCAGGGCGGGGCCCTGCAATGAGCACTCCCTGTATGCCAGATCGTGTGCTAAATAAGTACTTTTACATGAATTTGGAACAGATCTATGTTTTGTGGGGCCTAATTCTTATCCAATTTGTGGATCCTCTTTAAGAAAAAGAAGAGCAAAGTTATGAATACAAAATTAGGTGCCAGGACAGGAAGAGACCATGCAGTTAAGGAGCCCTGTGGCTGAAGTTTCATTAGCATCACAGTGAATCTGCCTCTGCATGCAACAGTTCATTTAAGCCACACAGCCCTAGAAATAAGTATATTTATCCCCAATTTTGGCAGGCTAAAGCCGGCCCCAAATTCTTTGACACTCCTTCCATCACAGGCTCTGAGACTTCTTGACCAGTAGAATATGGCGGAAGTGACACTGTGCCAGTCTTGGGCCCAGACCTGAAGAGACTGATAGCTTCCTCTTCTTGTCTTGCAACACTCACTCCTGGAGGGCTGCCATGCAAGAAGTCCATCTACCCTTTTGGAGAGACCGCGTGGACAGGCCCTGAGACTGCATGGAAAGAGGGTCCCAGCTGGATTTGTCAAAGTGCCAGACTTAAGAGTGAAGCCATCTTGAACCCTCCAGCCCAGCTCAGCCACCGCCTAAATACTGCTGAGTGATCCAATCAATGCCACGTGGAAAAGAAGAATCGCCGAACCAAGCCCTGTCTGAATTCCTTACCCAGAAAATTGTGAGATAGAATAAAAGGGTTGTTTTCAGCTACTAAGTTTTGAGGTGGTTTCTTACACAGCAATAAGGGAACACCACTTTACAGTCAAAGACATTATGGCTTAAAGAGGTTATAATTTGCCCAAAGCCACACACCTGGCAAACATTGGAACTGCATTGTTTGTCTGCTCCAGAACCTGTTCCCTTAACCACTCTGCTTTACTGAGGATTAGTTAGAACTTGTAATGATGATTCTAATTTCAATATTTTGCTGTTTCATTCATGGCCATACTGTGAGCGGGAGAAAATGATGAACCGGGAAATCCATGTGACTTCAGAGAGCTGCCCAGCTTCAGCCCAGTGGCCCACCCCCAGTGATGCTCCTGGGTCCACAAATAATCCCCCAGAATGGCTTTGGCAACTAGCTGCCCTCTCAGCCCAGGCCTTTCCTTCCTAGGAAAATAGGGGCCTAGAGAGGAGATGCCGTCTGATTGGCTTTTTTGTTTTTTTCTTCTGAAAAAAAAAAATTATTCCAGAATGCAGAATTCATCTCAACTCTGCCCCACCCCCACCCCACATCAGACAGGATAGCACCCGCCTGGCAACAATTGGACAGCTCCCGTAGAGTAAAAACTGGCAGATATAACTGAGAAAAATGTACTATTTAAGTATGTAAAGCCTTGATATAAATATATAAGGTCAGCTCCTGGATTCCTCTTGATAAGATGTCAGAGGAGATGAACAGTTTACACACAAGGAAAAGCCAACAATAAATCCTCACATGGACGCGTGCCCAGTCTCTCTGGCAATGAAAGAAATGGGAATTAAATAACTTCAAGGTACTATTATGTGCCTATTAAGTGAGCAAAAATAAATAAAAATGATAAAATCTTACATTGTCAGTGCTGTGGGGACGGAGATAGAGTGGGGTGGTAAATTCAGATTGTCGGAGCCTTCTGGAAAGTGCTTTGGCAATATACAACACGAACGGCAACACGGTTTATACCTTCTGACTTAGAAATCCTAGTTGGGGAACTATACCCCAAGGAAATATCTGAGGGAAGAAAAAGGCATTTGTATGAAGACATTCGTATCTGTGCTTTTAGAATATAAGAAATTGGAACAACCCAACAATGGGGAATAGCTGAACATACTCTGGCACGTTGACACAATGGAATACTATGTAGCTATTCAAAATGACAAGCAGAGGACTCTGTGCTACATAGAAATGTGTATTCTGAGAAAAAGAAGTAGAGCCCAAATAGGCACACACAGATCACAACCACGAGTTGCGGGTGTATATTATCTAGGATCTAAAAAGAATTTAGTGAGGTATTTGAGCTTAATGCTCATTAGTTTCCATATTCTATAAAATTGCTTTCATTCAGAATTTGTAAAAGAAGAAGAAATCCCCTGGGGAATCAGACGCTTCCACATCTGCCAGGTCACTGGTTCCAGGGCCTGGGGAAGTTCTTTCTTTGTTCTCATCTCCATTCTTTCTGCTTGCCCCCTGACATTTCTTATTGTTCATTCCCCAGGAGAAGTTGCAAAGCAGCTCTGTATCCCCCCCCTCCTTTCTTTAATATAACGTCTCTTCAGAGACAGAATGACAATTCCATTTTCCCATCCCCACTTCACAAGCCTGCCCTGGTTTCCTGGACTCAAGCACTCTGCTTCTTGTTACGAATTTCAAACAGTTCCTCCAAAAGCAGACGCTGGCCATGGCCCAACCTTGAAATGAAAAGTGAATCGACTTCTGAAGGTTTCCCCTTCTCTCAGCATTGCCCGTTCCTGTGGCTGTCCTGACAGGGACAGGCAGAGAGAAGCGATCCCCTCAAATTCCATTTTAACACCCATTCTGGAGAGGAAGACTATTAAAGAGAGAGCCAGCAGCCCTACACCTCGCTGCTTGTGTGTGTCAGCAATTGCTGCTCGTGTCCCGGGGCACAGACGCCGAGGATGTGAGGCTGAGCTGCTCATCTGATGGCTTGATTGACACTTTGCAGACGGGGGTGGGAAAGCTGAACCAGGGAAGCAGGAAGCTGTACAGCTCAGAAATAATGAGAGGACCCGAATTGGGAGAGAGCTTGGAATAAATAAGAGAGAATGAAGAGTTGAATGGCAAGGGAGGGAGCATCTTCTGTTCTCTTTACCCTGCCCTGCTTTGCCAAGGAGCTAGAGCTTGGGGCAAGGAAGCAGGCGGGCTGGCAACCAGGGAACAGCCTCCCTGGACCCATCCTGCCAGCTGTTGGGAGGCATTTGGGGCCCTGAGTGTGCACAGGATGTCAGCGTGAAAAAACAAAGAGCTGCAGACGCAGGGTCTGCACGTGGTATCCATACACATACCAGATCCGTTTCAGGTCTCAGTTTATTCGCCTCTCCTCCATCCCCTCTCCGTTTGCCCCAGGTCACTCATCCACCTTCTCTCACCTAGATTATTGCATTAACCCCCTAACGAGTCTTCCTGCTCCATCCTTGCTCCTCTTAATCTCTCCTCACCATTCCTGCCAGAGTCATCTCTCTAAACAGCAAATCTGAACAGGTCACTCCCGTGCTGAAAATTCTTTAATAGCTGCCCGTCTCCCAAAACGGATAAAATCTAAACTCCTCAGCTTGGCACACAAGGCACTTCACGTCCTGGCCTCTGCCTGCTCCTGCAGCTCCATCGCGTGTCCCTTCTCACTGTGCTCTTTATGCTCTGGCAGTACTGAGCTGAGAGAGGTTCCAACACTCACCATATTAGTCCAAATTCCCCGACACCCCCAAGCCAACTTGGACTTGGATGAGCTCTCCTGTATTCCCTTCACACCCTGAATACGGCTAAATTATAACAAATAGCGTATTGTATTGTAATTGTGTGTCAGCTTTCCCTCTAAGCTCCTCAAGAGGAGGGTGGGTCTTCTTTTTATTATCATTTTTAATAGGTAATACATACATATGGAACAACACTGTGAAAAGGAAGTCGCCTTCCCACCCTATCCCCAGCCACTTAGTTCCCTTCATCAGATGTAGCACTGTTACTATTTTCTTTTGTATCCTTCCAGAGATGTTCTGTGGGTGTACAAACATGTATCTTTTTTTAAAATCTCAGAAGTATTATACTATACAGCACCTTGCTGTTTTCATTTACAGTATCTTGACAATCCCCATCAGTCATATGGAGTCAAATGGCGCAGAGGTGCATTCTTTCTGATGGCTGCACGGTATTCCATGATATGGAGGAGGCTTTTGGAACAGAGGCACCCATACATGTTTGCTGAAAAGATGGTGGGTTTCTCTAGCTATCATGTTGTTAGCTGCTATCAAGTCAATCCCTGACTCACGATGACCCCACGCACAATAAAACAAAATGCTGCTGATCCTTCGCCATTCCCAATTGGTTGTGGATGGGACGTTTGTGATCCACAAGGTTGATTGGTTTTCGGAAGTAGATGATTAGATCTTTCTTCCTAGTCCTTCTTAGTCTGGAGGCTCCACTGAAACCTGTTTAGCATCATAGGAACACGTAAGCCTCCTCTGACAGACGGGTGGTGGTTGTGCACGAGGTGCATTGGCCAGGAATCACACCGAAGTCTCTCATATG